ATAATGTTATATTCTATGTTATCAGTAACAGACTAATTCTGGAATAAAGTAGTAACATTCTACACATTGATATGACTAGCCTCTTGAGATCTTGGAGAACATATTGTTATCTGTCTACCACAAATCTGTATACATAATATATGGAGACTACTATAATTTGATAATAAAGAGACAAGTGAATTAAAATGGGCAAAATATTTCAATAAACATTTCACTAAAGGAAATACACAAATGGTCAGTTAGCATATAAAATGATGTCAACAACACTTAAAGAATGAAAATTGAATTAACAATGAGATACCACTACATACCCATAATAAAAAAAAATAGTGCCAAGTGTTGACAAAGATACAGAGAAACTGGAACTCTCAACCAGTGGAAATGTAAAATGGTATAGCCACTTTTAAAAAAACAATATGGCCATTTCTTAAAAATTAAACCTAAACTTATCATATGACCAACTGCCAGGTATCTATTCAAGGAAAATAAAAATATCCAGATAAAAAGTTGTATATTAATATGGAAACAGTATTAATTATTCATAATATCTGGAAACCTCTAAATGCCCATCAACTAGTACATGAATGAATAAATGTGGTACATTCCTATAGTGGAATATTATTCATCAATATAAAAGGAACAAACTACTAATACATGCTACACCAGGAATGCTTTCTCTATTTTAAACTCTTTTCCTAATGTAAAGATTAATCCAGCTTGAAGACCTATACATGGGCACATGTCTGTAATCACAGAGAATTGGAAGTCTGAGCCAAGAGAATTGAAAGTTTGAGAGCAGCCTCAACAATTTAGAGATACCCTGTCTGAAAATTAAAAAAAAAAAAAATCCAAAGGTTGGTAAAGTGTCCTCAGTACAAAAAGGAAAAAAAAAATCCAAATTTTTCTTTGACTCCAAGGGCAACTGGCATCTTTAAGTATCCCAGCAAGAGATTAACTGATCATATGATTTCTCTGGAAACTTCCTCTTCACAACTTAAAAAGGGGATTTTACTCAATTCGCTATACTTATTTTAATGTTTCTTTCAGAGCTATTCAATCAGTAGTGGCCCAACTAAGATTCCAAAATTACCTCAGGGTTAAGGATGTAGCTTGATGGTAGAGCTGTACACTTAGCAAGTGTGAGGTCTTGAGTTTGATTCCCCAACACTGCAGCAACAATTACTTCTCTTCCCCGTTCTTCTCACTGACTCAAAAATTCCATTCCCTAACCTATGTGTTAGGGAATGGAATTTTTGAGTCAATGCAAATTAACAAGACCTGAAGGGTTAGCACAAAGCCATTTCTTTGAAATTTCCTCACATAGGGAGGAAAAATATATATCTTTTTTATATTTTATATTCTTTTTAATTAAGTAAAACATTAGGATACATTTTTGACATATCACAAAAGCATGGCATATAATTTGCTCTAATTCTGTCCCCAGCACTTCAACAATCCCTACTTTTCCCTGCTCTCCTCCTTCTACTGATTTTTCTGCAATTTATTTATAACTTCTCTGTGTGTGTGTGTGTATCTTGAGAGACATTAAGTGAAAATTAATGTCTGATTAATTTAGTGCCTAATGCTCAAAACATAGTAATATTTTTTAAAAATTCTTGAAACTGATGCAAGGGTAGTGTTTATTTTTGAAAGTGCATAATATGTTTAGATCTATTCCCGTGCATTGAACTTTTGCCCCAGTCTTTAAATAGAGTTATATATTAAGAATATGTATTCTAAGAGTCTTGTAGAATGCTAAGTATGTAGAACAAGCTGATACAGGCTATTGTTGATTGAGTTGAAAGAATAAAAGTCAATAACCCCTTTCCTACCTGAAACCTAACAGATTCCCTGTAGTAACAGCCACTAGATACTGACTTTGTGTGAGTCACCCCGAGCTTCGTGATTTCATGTAATCTTTGCAATAACATTAAGAGGTTTGTAATACCCCATCCCTAGTGTATAGGTGAAAAAATTGAAGCTTGGAGACACATGACATCAGGTGCGTCCTCCATTCTCAAACAAGATCAGTTTTAGCTCGGTGTGGTGGCACACGCCTCATCCCAGCAGCTTGGGAGGCGGAGGCAGGAGCAGTGCACGTTCAGACTAGCTCAGAAACTTAACCGGGCCCTAAGCAATTTAGCAAGTCCCTGCCTCAAAAATAATAATAATTAAAAGGGCTAGGATGTGGCTCAGTGGTTAAGTATCCCTGGGTTCAATCCTTGGTACCAAAAAAAAAAAAAAGATAAGAATTACAGATTAGGGTGGGTCTTCCCATTGTAAGATTTAAGAGTTTCAGCTTTCTTCGTAAACACCGCACCGCTCAGAAGAAGCCTCCTGAGGCAAGGGTGAAGTGGGATTAACAGTGGGAGTGCCTCCTGAGGCAAGGGTGAAGTGGGATTAACAGTGGGAGTGGCTTTACAAGATTTTCTTAAGGGATGGGTCCGGACCGCCGCTAGGCCGTAAAGAACTCAACAGGTCGTGAAGTGTCGTGGCGCGGAAGCTTTGCTTCACGGCAGTCCCGGCCAGCGAGCCAGGCTGCATTCGCAGCTTCCGACTCCTTTTCTCCACAGGTGTGGTGCTGTTGTAGTTCTGCCCAGTAATTCTTACTGGTAGCGTGGTGCAGCTACATCGAAGAACAGAGTGGCAGCGTAGCTGATGGAGTTTGCCGTTGAAGCTGAAGAGACTTCGGGAGGAGTTCTCCAGAGGGTAGCTGAGGGGGTGCGCCTGAGTCCCGAGTCCGGTAGGGAGGGAGTCGGGGACTTAGCAGGGATGGAGGAGGCCAGTGGTGGAGAGAAGGGGAAAGGATTTACAGGAAGGAAGAAGACAGAGAATGCAAAAGAAGGAAGTGGGCAAAAAGCAGAGGAGATGCGAATGGACTTAACAATTGTAAAGCAAGAAGTCATGGACTGGTCGGATGTAGAAGGCGGCTTGTTGAATGGCCAGTGGGTAAAGCAGGAGGTGGAGGATGGACCTGAGGTGAAGGATGAGAAAACTGGCATATTAGAGGTGAAGCAGGAAGTGGATAATAGTAGTTTGGTGGTAAAAGAAGAGAAGGTGGATGAACTAGGGGTAAAGGAAGAGAAGGTGAAAGTGAAGGAAGAAGTAATGGACTGGCCAGAAGTGAAGGAAGAGAAGGAGGATTACTTGAAGATAAAACAGGAGGTATTTGTTGGTCAGGATATAAAAGAGGAGGAGATGATGGATGGAGCCTGTGTAAAAGAAGAGAAGGATTTCATGAAGAAAGAAATGACGGAAGACACAAAAGTGAAAGAAGAGCCTGAGATCAGTCCCCCATTGGGCTGCAAGAGAAAACTGGCCATGTCAAGGTAGGGCAGGGAGAAATTCCCCTGGGTGATTAAAGCTGTGGAGTCCTCCGTTTAGTGATGGGAACCACACTAACAGTAGGTGAAATGTGAAAAATAGACACAAATTTAGTCCCTGGACTCAGAGTGATGTTGTGCAAAAAGGGTTAGAGAAGGGAAGGGTATTTTGAGATAACAAATTCAGTGAAAATATGTGAAGGGGTAATTTTCAGGAAGTACTGGTCAAGTTAGGAACTGAAAATTCTGGAAACCAGAAGACTCTTTGGAATCAGTATCTGACTAACTTTTATATACTTTAGACCCAGTAGTCTTTTGAAACAGGATATAGATGTGAGAAAGTCTTATAAAACCAACATTGACAAAGTGGGTTGAATTAAAATTTAACAGAAATGCTCTTGAAGTCAAATGTGAAACTTGTGTATGGAAACTTTGAATATTGCTTTTGTTTTTAGTGTGTAACCATGTGACAACATAGAAAATCAAATTGTGGTCAGATTCTTGAGACTATTACTATCTAGAACATGGGTGAATCATACAGAAGTAACAGTAATTTGATTGTCAGTATTCCAAGATCCTAGAAGAGCGGTTGAGGACAGATGATGGGTAATAATATTTCTAGATAATTGTGATGCTCATTCTCAGTTAGGTGTAGAGCTGTGAGAAAAAGAAATTACTAATACTCTCTTTAAATATGGCTGGCTTTTATACTATTTTTTTTCTGGTGTGTATACTTTTAAAATATCAGCATAGCTCAGACTTCTAGATACAGTCACACAGTTTTTACCAGATTACCCAGAATACAAGTCACAAATAACAGCGAATGATCTCATTTCCTGATAAAAGTACAGAAAAAATGTCTGATTTAAAAAAATTAATGTTTTCTTAGCAATAACATTTACTACATTATAAATGTAGTCATTTGGAGATGATTTCATAGAGAAATTTCAGTATTTGAGAGCTGTTAAATATTTTATCATTGCTTGCACATACTTTATTCACTGAGACTACCTACCTAAATTGTGACAAGTCATTGAATCAGCAAAATTTATAAATAGATAAGTAGCATTAATTTTTGATAATGTTATATGTGGGCTTTTGTAGGTGTGAAACTTGTGGTACAGAAGAAGCAAAGTACAGATGTCCACGTTGTATGCGATACTCCTGCAGGTATATGTGTGTATATATATAACTTCTTACCTTATTACCTGTATCTGTATGCTTCTCCAAAATATAAGTTTTTGTTTCTTTGTTTCTTCAGTTTGCCCTGTGTAAAGAAACACAAAGCAGAACTGACCTGTAATGGAGTTCGAAATAAAACTGCTTTTGTTTCAATACAACAGTTTACTGAAATGAATCTCCTAAGTGGTAAGCCATCTTATACATAGTTCCTGGATATTGTTATATGTTCCTGGATATTGGTGTATGTCACTTGTTTATTTTTCTATCCTGAAATTTTTAGATTACCGATTCTTAGAAGATGTGGCAAGAACAGCAGACCATATTTCTAGAGATGTTTTCTTGAAAAGACCAATAAGCAATAAACATGTAAGTATTCTTCTAACTCTTATAGGAGTTAACTTAACAATTCCTTCCAATCAATAAAGACCTGCATCAGGAACAAAGTTGGTGTGTTTGGGAATTGGCAGAGTGACTAAATCATAATGAGGAAGAGAATGTTGAACATGAGGTTAGAGAAAGGGGTAAAGGTTCCCAAGTGAATTCAAAATAAAAAATAGAAACCATAGAAGGGTTTTGAACACTACTTTTTGAAAGATCACTCGTGCTGCTATGTGCACTTAAGGGTTAAGAGTGGGAGAATGGAAGCAGGGAGACCATTTATAAAGTTATGTGATATCCATATGAGAGATGATGGTGGCTTGGATCATGATGTTAGAATTAATTAGGAGGTGATTAGACTCTAGTTTTGATTGAAGAGCTGAGAGGATTTGCTGTTCGAACACACATAATTTTCATGCTTGCATCCCTTTTTCATTCCTTAAGCACGATGCAAAACTAAGGCTTTCATATTTGAAATATTTTGCAACTGGTATCTGAGAAATTTTTTGATATTTTGATTAAGTCACAGATTTATATTCAGTTTTTAGAGGCCATTTTAATATTGAAGTTGCAAAATTTAAATACCCTTTTATTTGTTTTTATTTTTATGTGGTGCTGGGGTTAAAAACCTCACTTTATTGGTATTATAGGTACACATAATACATTACACATGTCAGAAATAAAATTAACATGCATCAACTCATTTTTCCTCAAGCTTAATTAAGCATAATTAAAATTCTACTTAAAGAGAAATTACTTTTATTGTAAAATACAGCATGCATGTAAAAATGTTAATAAAATGGAAATATAGTATAATGGTTAATTATATCATGAATACCTATATAATTACTATCCAGATCTAGAATTAGAACATTACCAGCTTCACAGAAATTCCCTGCCACCCTCTTATACCTTACCGTGATCTGTTGTCTTTTCTGCATAGTTTCTGTCTTGTTACAGTACCATAGTTTATCCATTCTCTTGTTCTTGACTTTGGGTAGTCTGTAATAACAAACAAACAAAAAAAAAGCTACTTTTAATATTTTTATGTGTTGTGTTTATGTATTGTGGTATGGTAGAAACAGTGCTACTCTTCACACTTCTGATGAGCTTTGTGTATGCACATGTTTTTGTAGGGTTTATACTTGAGAGTAGAATTGGTTTGCTGTAATTCATATCTTCAGTTTAACTAGATATGATTGGAACTCTTTTTAAAGTAGTTATATCAGTTTTCATTCCCACCAGTTATTTGGAAATATACCTGTTGTCTTTAATACTTACTTGATTTGGTCAGACTTATAAAATTTTTGTCAAATCTGTTGGCTGTGTATGATCTCTATTGTGTTTTTACATTTGTAATTCACTGATTTCTGTTGAGATATAAACACCTTTTTGGACATGTGGATTTCCTCTTTTGTGTAGTGACTGTTCAAGTCTTGTTGATTTTTTTCATTGTTTTACTTTCTCTTTCTTACTGGTTTATAAGAATTCTTTGTATTTCTTAGATGCTAATCAATAATTGATTGTTATAAATACCATTAATTTTATGGCTTATCTTTTCATTTGATAGTGTCCCTTGTGTGTGCCATAGTGGCCATTGAACCTAGGGAGCTCTACCACTGAGCTACATCTCCTTCTCTTCACAGCCCCCTAAGTAGCTGGAATTCCAGACATGTGCTACTGTGCCCAGTTTTATTTTTTATTTTGAGACAGAATCTGGCCAAGTTGTCCAGGCCAGCTTTGAACTTGGGACTTTCCTGCCTCAACCTTCCAAGTAGCTGGGATTACAGGCTTTTGCCACCATGCCCCACTATAGTGTCTTAATGTAGTCAAATTTACCACATTTCCTTTATAGTTAGTAGTTTTACATGTTCTAGAAAGAACACCTTTCAGTTATGAAGATATTATCCCATGATTTTCTGAAAGCTTTATCATATTGCATTTCACAGTTTTGTCTTTAAACTACCTGGAATTGATTTTTAGAATCATGTAAATTGAAGTCCTATTTAGCTTTTATATATGGGTAATCCAGTTTGCCTAGCACCATTTACTGGAAAGTTCATCCTGTCTCTACTGCTTTACAGGACCAAATTTGTCACATCAGGCATCCATATATTGCTAGGGTCATTTTCTGGTCTGTCTATCCATCCTGTTGATGCTTGTCTATCCTGCACAAATATTATAAACTCTCAAATTATTGCAGTGGGTTTTTAATCAATTAAAGTAATTTTTAAATTGATACACAATTATTATTCATATTTATGGGGTAAGGTAATTAATGTACCCATTGTCTCAAACATTTATCATTCCTTTATGTTGGAGCCACTAGAAATTTTTCTTCTAGTTATTTTGAAATCTAAATAAATTATTGTTAATTATTACAATTCTATACCAGTATTAAATATCAGCCTATTAATTCCACAGCCCCCCCCTTTCCTTCTTGAGAATTTTGATTTGAGTTATATTTATTTCAGAGATCAGTTTGGAAGATTTAACTTCTTCACAACATTGAATCCTTAAACGTTTGCTTTTGTTGCTGTGTCTGCATAGAGTTTTCTTTAATATACCTATGTATAGATAATTTTTTCACTAGAGAACTAATATATTTTTTGTTAAACAAAAAAATAACCAGCAAAAAATTTATCTATTTGCAGTGCTAGGGATTGAATCTAGGGCCACTGCGTGCAAGGCAAGCACTCTACTATTGAGCTACATCCTCAGCCCTTTTGGTGCTATTTTAAACAGGATTTTTAATTTTTTATTTTCTCTTGACCAGTACATAGAAATGAGATTTTTTGTTGTTTATTTTATATTGAGCAACAATATTAAAATTCAGTAAATTATTTACATATTCTTTGAAATTTTCTCTATAAACAATTCATCACAGTTGTGTTTTTTTCTCCTAACCTGTCTCTCTTTCTTGCCTTATTGGAATATCTAAGACTTCCAATTCAATTTAAATACTAGTGATGATAGGAAATATCTATTTTGAAAGTCCTCTTAGACCACCTCAGGTTTGATGATTTGTGAGAAAGTTTCATAGGAATCAACATATAGTTGTACTTCCACCTAAAATGTATTGTGGTGAAAGTTAGCTTGGATTGTTCTTACTTTGTTCTTAGATGCACTGACTGATATTGGAATTATTTCTTCCCTGGGAATTTGATAAAAATTAGTAGTCAACCAACATGGAGTTTGGACCATGAGATATATTCTTTCCTATTTTATGGGACTGTTCACGTTCTATATTTGTTGTTGTTGTTTTTTAATTACATCTGTACTGAAGAAGTAGAGATTTTTTTTTCTTGTCATTATTCCCTAAACATTATCTCTTAACAAATATTTGCTTTGTATTAGGTAATTATAAGTAGCCTAGCAATGATTTTTAAGTAGATAGGAGGAATTGCAGAGGTTATAAACAGATACTATGCCATTATATAAGGGATTTAAGCATCCTCATATTTTGGTGTTCATAAGAGTTCTAGAACCAGTTTTCCACAGATACTGAAGGACAAGTTTATGGCCTTTTTAGGTCAAGTTTGTTAAGTATGTTGTTCCGATTCCTTATAACCTTCATTTTTTTTTCTTTTTTTATCTGCTTCTATTTGATTTCTGAGAGAGTTATGTTATCATGTCCCAGTAAGTAAAGCCAAACAATCAATTTGTAGTTTCCCTTTGTTGTTCAGTTAGTTTTGTTCATATACTTTAAGACTAAAATATTAAATGCATCAGGTATTATTTCTTGGTGTAGTTAACCATTGGCATTTTGAGATATCCTTCTTTGTAGATTTTTGTCTACTTTGTTCAATATTAATAAAACTTTATTAGTTCTTTGCCAGTATTTGCATGGTGGAGTTTTCTTCCTTGCTATTACTTTCTACCTTTTTCTACTTTTATGTTTTGAATAGGTCTTTTGTTAAGTTCGTACCATAGTCATGTTCCAGTTTTTAGCTGATCTGCCAATGTGTAACGTTTAACTGAACCATTGTGTTCATTTTAATAAAATTGGTTACATATTATACCTTAATTTGTCACTTTATTTGTGCTGTTTGTCCCATTTGTTTATATTGCCTTTGGACTGATTGAATTTTGTTTTTTTGTTTTGTTTTTTGTCTTTTTAGGCCATATGATTTCTGTCAAAACTACTTTATTCTTTTTTAAAAAATAGCTTTTTTTTTTTTAAGTTAGTGTGTGCATTATAGGAAATAGAACAACACAAGCAAAGAATAAAGTCATTTAGTCACAAGCAGCTTAGTTGGACATGTCCTTCTAGGACCTGAAAATATATATATATATATATATATATATATATATATATATATAAATACAACATTTCATTTTGTGTAATTGAGATCATAGTGTGTTCGTGCTTTCCTGCACATCATGAATATTCACCAATTCAAATTGCAAAGCTACATGAGTATTTTTGATAACCTAGAGCACACTATAGCAACTCAGTCTGTTAGGAAAAAATTTAATCTTGTCTTTCTTGGGGACAAAAATTTCACTAAAGCCAGAAATGAAAACAGGCTTCTAGATAGACACATTGGCAGAGTTACAACTAAAATAATGCATTCCCTTAAAATTTAAAAAGGAGACATAAAGCAACAGATACTAAATATAATGTTTCTAAGAGAGTTCATTATCAGGTTTCTACTACTAAAATAGTAGCAAGAAATCATCTTCCAAGTGAATTAAAAGTATTTCTACAATACAGTTTGAAAATGCACACACATCAGTAGTAGCTCACATCAAAATGTAAATCTTTGAACACTTGCTCCCATTTTTACCTGTGTGCTGCCTTCTGCCCCTCTGTTGCCAGCCTGATATACAAGTTCTGATACTCACTGCCCAGAGTTAAAACAATTTCATGTCTAAGATGCATCTATCCTAACAGTTATGCCAAAAAGATATTTACAAATTGTCTAATTCACTAGCTCTTCTTTTTAATAATACACTGTCAACCTCAGGACATCTAGAAATCTTAGATGTTATGTAATAAAGTATTAACTTTGTGCACAATAAGCATAAGTTCTTTACCAAAAATGCATGTATAAATCTGTGGTTATAATCTATAGCCATATATTCTTATAGAAATGGAGATACTAGCAAAGAGCCCTTCCCCTTACCATTCCAGTGACTAAAGAACTACTTCACTCTTGGTCCTGCAGCACTTGTTCCTGCAGCAAAATAGAGGGCATACACAGCATAAACAAATGGGCCAGGCTATATTCCAATAAAACTTTATATGTAAAAATTGGCAGCAGGCTGGATTGGGGTCAGGGCACCATTTAGCCCTGTAATGGCTTGTTTTATTGTTTTCGGGTATCTAAATTGTCTTTTTTTAAAAACATCCCTATGTAGTAATTATTATTTTATCAGTCAGTGTTTATTTTGTATTATCTTCATGTTTTTCATTTTCTTTTGTCTTTATTCTTTCTATCATCATTTGACCTGTTCCAGTCAAATAATACAAGTCTCTTAGGATGGTCTTAGGGTAGACTTGTTTTCTGTTCACCTGTGTCTATATTATTTTGACATTTTGCTTAATTTGAGTAGAGATTTTTAGTAGATGATTGGCTTTTAATTCTGACCTTGCTGAGAAGGATATTGAAAAGAGAAACCTATATTTGCTAGAATTAATGAAGGAAACAATATCAGATTTACTGAAATGTCTTCATTGCTTTTCTTAACTCACTGAGTTTTCACTTTTCATTATATATTGGTCTATTTCCTGGTTTTTGTTAGCTCTTAAATGCTTTTAAGGTGATTTTTAAAAATATACTTATTTACATATATGTATTTCTCTTATTATCTGATATTCTTAGATGTTTTCAATGGGAAAGTTTATCCTTATAATATCACATTACTAAAGCCATGGTTGCCTAAGTTATAAACTTATACATAATTTCTTAAGTCATTTTATTGCTTTGCCAGTAATAGCTGATTCTTCCTTTCCATGTTTCCCTTGGCTTATGACTTGATTATCTAACTTTACATTGTAAATTCTAGATCCCCATTCACTTAGCCAAAAATATATATTTTGTCTTTTCTTTGAATGATCTTTTGTCTTTTTTGACTTAATAGAGACATGATAATATTACTATCTTTGCAACTCTCCAAAATTGCCTAGCTCTGCTTAACCAACCCAGGTAATCCATGGAGTAACACATGTTAGAGCCAGATGTTTTTATATTGCCATTTGGTACTGCCCACAACAGTGGCTACTTTAACTAGGCCTTATGCTAGGCAGTGCCTTGATTTCTCCCTTGAGTGGGCTACCTGTCTAGTAAACAAAATCAGGTGTATTCAACTAACTATGGTGCAAAACCATCAGTGAAAGAAAAAGCTATAGGCGGGGATATAGTACAATGGTAGAGCACCTGCCTAGCACACATGAGACCCTGGGTTTAATCTCCAGCACTGCAAAACAATAAAAGTCTCTGAAATTCTTCCTTTGGCTTATAGAACATATACATTTGAATACAGGTTCTGCTACTTTGAGATAGTTGCATGAGGTTGGAATCTCATTAATTCTTAACTCCTAAAATGAGGGTCATAATAGTACCTATCTCTTAGTGGATGTAGAGATTTTGTTTAACGTCTTTCCATGAAACATGATAATTATTCAGTAAAACTGAACCATTGAACATATTATTTATAAAATGTAAAGCATTGTAAAATTAATTTTATCTATTTGGTTTTGATTGTTAGATGTGCTTTTTGAAAAATCGTGCTCGAAAGCAAGGTATTGACTTAAAACTTCTACCCACTGGATTCACCAAGAGGAAAGAGAATTCAACAATTTTTGATAAGAAGTAAGTTTCTTACTCTTAGTATATCAGTATTTGATTTCATCAGGAGCATTCTTAAGATTTAGTTTGCTGTTGAGCCTTGCTACATAAGTGTGATCTGTAAACTGTTTTTGGATTTCAAAATAACGATGATCATTGCATGTCAGGTGACTTAACAAAATTTGGGCATGTGATATGTATGTTTTCTTTATTCTCTGAAAAGTTTCTCAGATATTAATGTGTCTAACAAAAGTTATCTACCAAGTATCTTGTTAAATATGCTTGAGATTTAATTTTTGTAGGCCTGACTTGGAGTTCAATATTGTGTATTTCTAACAGTCTCACCAGGGATCCTGATCATTTGAGCAATGCCCTCGAACATCTCATAAATTAGAAATAAACTCTTTTCTTTAAGACCTAAGGTATCATTAGAGTATTTCAGGGGCTTCAAAGTACAAAGTGGTAAATCAGCAAAAGTGCTGTACTGTTTTAAAAGCAACCTAGCTTTTGTCATTGTTTCTACACTGGAATTCCAAGTAAGATTTCACTTAAAAGCCAGATATGGGGCCAGGTACAGTGACGCACACCTGTAATTCCAACATCTCAGGAAACTGAGACAGGAGGATCTTGAGTTCAAAGCCAGTCTCAACAACTTAGCGAAGCACTTAACAACTCAGCGAGACCCTACCTCTAATAAAATATTAAGAAAAAGGGCTGGGGATGTGGCTCAGGGGTTTAGCATCCCTGGCTTACCATCTACAGAACCAAAAAAAAAAAAAAAAAAAAAAAAAAGCCAGCTGTGGGGAAGAAGACTTTGGAAACATTTAACAGTGAATCTTTCTATACAGATAATACCACAAGGATTAGTTTGCTGCTCTTTGAGTGTTGGGTCAAAAAGGCCCCAAGAGTACAGAGTACAGAGTACATTCCATGTCTTCAGATGCAACTTACTGCAGATTGGAATTATTAGGTGATGGGGGCTGCATCTGCACTGAACATGTACAGACTATTTTTTTTTCCCTTATCATTATTCCCTAACAGTAAGTATAACAATTACTCACATAGCATTTGCTATATGGAAATACTACACTGTTTTGTATAAGCATGCACAGATTTTGGTATCTGAGAGGGATCTTGGAACCAGTTCCTTGTGTATACCAAGAAAAGATTGAACTGTAACTAGCCAACTAAATTATTGGATAATACCTTTCAGAAGTCAATGTTCTGGATGTAATAATAAAAAAAAAAAAAACCTTTGACTTTGAGCTTCATAGTAATTGTGGGGTTTTGAACAAATCTCTTTCTCTGAGTCTCGTTTTTATTTTTATTTGTGTGTGTTTAAGTTTTGTTTTGAGATAGTGGCTCACTATGTTGTTGCCCATACTGGTCTAGAACTCCTAGGCTCAAGTGATCCTCCCATCTCAGCTTCTCCAATGGCTGGGTCTGTAGGTGTATGCCACTGCACCCTCTGAGCTTCATCTTTACAATTAGGAAATTGAACTCTAAGGTTGTTTTCCAGTTAACTATTCCACAAATTGAAAAAAAACAAAATAGGGCTATCAGAATTATTATTCTAGTAAGACTTTTTTCAAAAGATAATATATAATTACAAGATGATGTTATCTGTTTATTGTATATGTTGCAAGACATAAATATTTGTATGAGTGATTTTCTTTTTTCCTGGTTGTTTTCCAAAAGTAAAGTAATTCTTTGTACTAATCAAGTATGAGATGATTCTTTTGTGCATTTTGAAACATGTATTTAGAAATTGACATTCTGTTGGAAATTTAGGTAACTAAATATAAATGTGTTCTGTTTTATGAAGGAAACAATTCAGAATGATTGTCATCCAAAATTAGTTCTCAGTATTCAAAAGTATATGTCTCCAAGTATAACATTGTCATATCTGTACATACATGTGAGTGTGTGTAAAAAGTTTTTTCCAAGAATATTACTCTCAGTCAGTATATTTCCTGAGTTTAGTAACCAGATTTATATTTTGGAACATCCTAGGTCTCTAAAATGATAAACCAAACTGTTCTTGCATTAGCTGTTTGCTCATAAATTTTCAAAGATTTGGGGTTGCCGTTATATTTTCAGTATTTTCCTGTGAGGACATTAGCACCTGATGCATAATATACTTTAAGGTCAGGTTCTTAGCTTATTTCCATCTAGAAAAGGGAATCTTATATGGTGTGGCCTTTTAGTATATTAATGGATTTGGAGAGTAACTTGTATATAGGAAGGAATCAGCATATAGTAGCTACTATAAAAATAATACATCTGCATTATAAGATAATTTAAAGGAAAAATAGCACCTATAATCATACTCTCCAGATATAACCACTGGTATTTCCTTCTCATCATATTTTCTACTTTCTTCAATTAATAAAGTAAAATATAGTGCAAAATACTTAAATAAATAAAAGTATTAAAGAATGACATAACTTTACCCTGATTAAATATTAAATTTTTGTGAATAAATGCATACACTTTTTTTCCTGTAGCTAGTTTTTTTTTTCTACTTAACAATGTTTTAGAGTGGTATTCCACCTATGATCATCCTAATTTATTTAATTATTCTCATATTCATGAACATTTAGCTGATTTCTAGTTTCTGAGTATTACACATAATCCTGCAATAAACATACTTAAACAAATTGCTTTGTGTTACTCAAGGTGTTTATCAGCATTCTAACCTCTACTCCTTAGATGTTGATAGCACAAATACACCCACACCTCTGTCGTGACAACAGAATGTCACTAGACATTGCCTCATGTTCCTTGGAGGGGACAAAAATCACTCTTTGAAAACCACTGAAGACATATTGATTGAAATGATAGTCTTTTCTTGGGCTAGATAATTAATACTATCAGTGTATAACAGAATTAGGATTGCAGAAAATGTTGATTGCTAAAAGGAAGTGTATAATAAATGTATAAGGTAACTTTTCCCCTTTAGGGAAGAATTTAAAAAGACATTGAGAAGGACCTTGTTTAGGATATCTGTGTTTATCATTTATTCATCTGAAAATGACTACTACAGTTTTAAATAATTGCAGTGATATTTGCTGGAAAGGAGGAAGAACAGAATGCTAAATCTTTTCAAAGAATTCTGTTCAGCTCCCATACCCTCAGTATTCTGTTCTAAGAGGTAGTTTTTAATTCTTTTTTTCAACTTTGAAAAATGGTTAAGGCTTTGACGGGATTCATATTGCTTCTACCATATGATACATGTTAGGTGACCTATGTAAGATCTAATTTACTTGCTTATTGAAAGGATTAAAGTAGTATCTGACACATAGTAAATAGTATATAATGACTGTTAAAGATCTACATTCTCCTATCTGAAGTTCTTGATCCTTTGGTTACATTCACCCCTCATAGGTCTAGGACAGCATCAGATAATAACCTACAAATGGTCACATTATAAAATATATTGTCTGTAAATTGACTCAGTCAGATTTTGCTGCCAAAAGAGCTAGAAAAAAATCTTGTAGCTGTGGAGATTTGGAATTGCTGATATGAAATATGTTGATCATTCCTAATCTAAGAATTCAAACTTTTTGAGAGTGACATGATGCCAGAAGTGGAAAATTCAATACTTGACTTCATATGACAAGTCACAGTCAAAGTGACGGTACGCCAAAAATATTATATAGCATTACCTTTGGGTTGTGTATAAACATAAATGAATTTTGGGTTTAAACTTGGGTTACATTCCCAAGATATTTCACTGTGCATATGCAAGTACTCTAAAATCTCAAAAAATCAAAATCAGAAATACTGTTCCAAGTGTTTGGATAAGGATCACTCAGGCTGTACTAAGATTATTATTTATATTCTATAATAATTGATCCTTTGTATGTATAGGCAGCTGGAGCTGCAATATAGTTAGAAACTCAAATTCAGTTTGATTCATGAGCTTATTTTTTTTAATTTTGAATTACATGTTTAGTTTGTTATTTCTTTAAGAACTATTGTATACCAAACTTTTGTATACTAAACTTTTTACACCCATGTACCATCATGTTTAGCTAAGTTGCTTAAAAATTCAAATGTTCTAATGGTAACTTTTGAGGAATTTGAGTGAAAAATTCTTTTAACTGTTTTTGTAACTTTTTTTTATAAATGGCAAAACTATTTTCAGTGCTGGAGATCAAACTCTGGTCTTTGCACTTGTTATTGCCAAACTCTACCACTGACCTCTAATCATAGCCCCCTGAAATTATTTTTTAAAAGTAGTTTTAAAAAACTACTTTTTTATTCTTGCATAAATGAGTGTAATTAATGTGCCTAATATTATGCCTGTAGAACTATCAGCAAGTTATTGTAAGTAACAACAGACTAAATAGAAACCTTAGGAAAATAGGTTCATTCTAACTCAGGCATCCTTTATGGTAGTTTTATGACCAGTATAACTCTGCGTCTCCTAAAAATCAATGGAAATTATGTCGTCTATGAATTTTTCTAAGAACTGTAACTTTCATTGAAAAGTCAGACTAGAATATAAAAATCAGGGCATGACGTAAAAATATATATTTAATAAAGATAAATTTTAGAGGATTGTTGACATTATAATAGATAGCTTTAATGAACAAAGACATGTCAAGATGAAAAATAAGTTGAAGCCAAACATGGGGGTACGTGCGTGTAATCCCAACTACTTGGGAGACTTGAGGCAGGAGGATCAAAAGTTTGAGGACAGCCTCTGCAACTTAGTGAAACCCTGTCTCCAAAAAAAGGACTGGAGATGTAGCTAAGTGTTGTATTGTCTCTAGGCTCAGTCTCCAGTACTGAAGAAAAAAAAAATAGTTGAGCCAAAGCAGGATTCTGTTAAAAATATAGGAGTTTGATAAGAAAATGAATCCAATAGAAGGCTTCTCTACTTAATTTTGGAGCTTATCTCAAACTACCACTTTAGAAAAGTACTTTGTTCAGAGTAAATCCTTTCTCTTATCTTATAGCTTTATGTACACTTTGACTTAGTGTTAATCAAAAACTGTTGAGGGCTGGGATATAGC